GGGAAGCAGGCAGTCTAATATTTCCATACTCTTAACTGTAAATAAGAAGAAACAGTTCAGCTGAGGAGCAGCGCTGAGGTATAACAGGCGAATTGGATATTGTGCTTTCCCCTCCCATGCACAACTTAGAAGTCCTAAAACCACTCCAGTCCCCATCTTTCATTACATTCTGCTCTTGCGGGCGCTGACATTAGTCATTAGGGAATCCCATAACTGAGGCTTTTATATGTAGCTATTTAGGCCAATTCCCCTAGGCTACTCTGTGCGACAGCGTATTTGATTCCAGTAATAAAGTAGTAGTCTAGGCTAATTTCAACATATGTTTCCTCTTTAGAAACTTTTAGATGGGAAGCCTGCTTACAGCAGGACTGCATTCGAGATCTCCAGGACAGCAGAAGTCCCTATAAAAATGTACTACCTTTTCCTAAAACTAGTTGTTTACTATGGTTTATTGCCTACAGCGCTTAATTGCTCATCAGTACCATGCAGGAGTACCCTATATAGGCAAAAGCCTATGCTTTTGCAAATCCTCATCATAAGAGCACTTCTACCATCAAATCAGAAGAGTGCTATCCGCATCCCCAGTTCAAATTTCTCATTAGCAAATTTCTCAACCAGCTACTGAACAAGAAACTGAATTACAGTTTAGCTTGAAAATCCCCGGAATTTGGGAATAAACTGCTTCTCAACCCCTTTTTGGCTCAGATATCATCTGGATTCATCTGTACACAGGCATTTCTACAGCTCTCCAGTCCACTTTAGCCTTATAAAAATAATTTTGCAGAGTCAAACTGTATTTTAACTTCACCAGCATAATCCACAGGCAGATAGGATAAGCCAAGTCTAAATGAACTGGCAGAGTTTGAATCGCGAGTTGAGATTAGCTAAAAATATTGCCATGATGCATAAACCCAAATAGAAGCCTGCTCCATCTCCCAGGGCAGTATCAATTCTGCAGTCCCAACAGGTGTAAAAAATAATTCATCTTTGTCACTAAACTATACAAATGTGTAGGAGGGGGAGGAGAGCTGTCAACAGAGAAGGGGCCATTTGTACATAAATGCTTCCACGCTGCAAATGAAATGTAAAGGTGCCAGGGTAGAGAGCCATCAGAAGCCAGTTTCTTCACCCAGAGATTTCCAATGATCCTATAAATTCAATACTGCAAAGTTTGTTTTGTATATGAAGCGCTTCAACCATCTGAGGAAGGCTTTGAAACCAGCCCACGTTGAAAGGCAAGACTTCCCTGAAAACGTGGTTTTAAAGTGGGAAACCAGTTAGATAGCACCTAGGTACAAAGATCACATTTGTTTTGACTTAGTTCTCAAATCCTTTGAATACCAGTTCAGAGCACATACTCTATAAAAACGCTTGTGAGAAACTGGCGCGTTCACTCAGGCACAGATTGATGAACCGCTATGTACAACTACCGTCATTTAAGTGCCTTTTTATTGTACATAGCAGGATTTGCAAGAACAGACAGCAGAAGATCCTCAAGCTGCTAAGAGCTGCTGAATAAACAAGGGTAACATGTGTGATTTTTACACGCTGCCTCCCATTTGAACTGCACAGGCTCAGTCCTGCGCAGAAAATTGCTTGTTTCCTGCCAGCCTCCGACCTCTGCATCTCTGTTCTCTGGGTGGGAGCAGGGAGGGGAATTCAAGGGTGGTTTCTTTTGTTTGTTGCATAAATGCAGATAAAACAACCATTTCAAATGAACATGTCCTTCCTAAGATAATTTTGCCAGAGCCTTCAGATAATAAAGAAGATTTATTTTCCCAGCGTTTCCCCCCGCCCCTCCAACAGCCCTCCCAAGCCACAGGGCAAGTTGAGCCCCAGCATCCGTAATTAACGGCTTCGCACGCTTATGTCTGAAGGTTGCAGGTCGGCCACAGCATAGCAGATACCCACATGCAGGCAAAGAGGCAAATGCACTTACCCGAGAGATAGAGAGGGGCATGTTGAAATCCTTGCCCCCTTGAAGCCTGAAACCCCACGGAGCCGGGCCGACCAAAGACACACTGTAGTTGCTCATGATGTTTAGTTTTCAAGGATCAAATCCAAGGAACTGATGCCTGTGGGACAGAATTTGAGTTGCACTTTAAAGACGATAAAAACAAAAGGCACTGCCTACCGTTTTGAAAGCCTTCTTTCTTTGCCGGTGTTCCCCTCTGTAGCATAAAAACGGCCAGAAAAACCACACCAGGTCTGTGCTTTTATTCCTCACACATGGTTTTCCTCCATCGCTCAGGAAGAAACATAACCAGGGAACTGGTAACACAGACTTGGGACTTTGAGAACTTCTGGCGCTGAGATGTTTGACAACTACTTCTTACTAACAAAATACTCTGTGTGTGGAAAAAAGAAAACCAAACACACCCAACATCAAAGCTCATCTTAAGAAAAGTCAATGTTGAGACAAGCATGAATTGATAGTATCCCTTAAATCCAAGCGTGGAAGAAATTAGCACCACTGGCACATTCATTTCTCACAAAATGAGTATCATATGCTGCCATGTCATCAGCTCAGAGCTTGTTTCTAAACACATTATGTCTTGACAGTTTCAAAACGATGTTAAAACATCACAACTTTGAAGTTAATCAGAAGGAAATAAAATCCCTGTGACTTTCTTATTTTTATAGCATAGCTTCATATTGGTAGAACAATGCTACAGACGAAATAAGATATTAAAACCAACCCTCAAATGAAAGCTGTGAACTAAAGCGTAATACACATGGCCACAACTTAACGCTGAGGCAGCAAAACCAAAGCAAAACCCAAGCACCTCCCTGCCCTCCCCACAACCGTGGGCAACAAATTACCTTTAAAAGGCAACCGAGGCACTTAATTGCCGTTCAGCGTCAAAGATAAGGGCTTCAGTTTCACCTCAGATAAGTAATGTTACAATGACATCTTAGGTAGTGGATCCCATCTATTTTTGTACAGTTGAAGCCAGGCAGGAGCACACCAGGGCGGGCTGGTGTAAGACTACACCGGGGCACAGCCAAATTCCATACTCGTATAGGGACATTTAAGGTGGACCTTCAGTCAAGCAGAAGCAAGCGGGCTGCACACCCCACCGAGCCCTGCAAAGCCGGGTTTTACCTGTCCATCCACCGCAGGGGGTGGGGTGTTATTTTTTTGGGGAGGCGGTGGATTTTTGCAAACGCAGCCCAGCCTTGCGGACCTTCAGAGTGGGGCTGTTGCACAGCCCCCGCGGGCGTGGGGAAGGACATTTAACGTCACTCCCCGAGAAAGCCACCAGTAACACACCTTTCTGGGTTCACCTCCCAGAGCCACAGAGATCAGCTGCTCAGACCTGTTTCCAAATCAATCGGCAAACTTTGTTCACACCGACAGCCGCTCAGGTAACCAGAACGGGGCTGCTGGCATTGAGCAGAACAAGATAATATATTCAGAAGCAGAATTCGGAGCTAGTAACAGAGGTGCCTGGGTACCCGAGTAGCTCCTGAAGTGCCCCTGCCTGTTGGTACCCAGCGAAGGGGGCAGCTCTGGCCCCAGGCGCTGTTAAAAGTCTCAACAAGCACCAGCGTAGAGAGGGGGGAACACACACCGCTGAGCTTTCATGTGGCTGAAACGGAAAATAAAGCAGCAAAAAACCTCCACCAAGTTTGAGCTAGGACTCTTAGGGGACTCGCTCATCATTAAAGCAAGAACTACAACTCGTTTAATTGCTCAGGGTGCTGAATTCCTTATGAAAAGAGGATTTTAATTAATCACAGATTTCTTTCTGTACAAAAATACAAACTCCTGTCATTCCCTCTAAATGAAACCCACCGCAGCGACAGGTCACTATAAATTAAGAGACTGCAGAAAAGCAAACACCGGCACACGTGCAGGTCAGCAGCACAGGCAGAGGGCTTTACCTATCACTTAAAACTGAAGGACTTGTGTAGCGCTGCTTTTTTTTTTTTTTTGAGTAACAGCTACTTATAGTTAATACATCTAGGAAAAGATTAAGGTATATTAGGAAAGGATAGTGTTCTTTGTCATTTGTAGCAACTACAAATTGGAAGGAACAGGCTGGATGCTGAAATGCCCTGCATCACTCTAAGCATCTCCTCGCAACTCCCCCCTCCTCGATTCTGCCGTGCCCGCGTCTCTAGGCTTACAGGTACACCGGGAAGGAATAGGAGACAAAGGAGGTATCTTCAAAGTTTAATTTAACTAATGCCTTAAAAACATGCTAGAGCAACGTCTAAGAGAAAGTACTGCAACCCACCAACCCCGCTTCATGGGGGGACGTTGCGCAAACCAACCCGCTAAGGGTGAAGTTGTGCAACTTTCCCTTAGATGATCAAAGGCTTGGTGGATCTGCTTCTGGAAGGGGGAATTTCAAAACCCAGGCAGCAACGCTCGCCCTCACCACTGTCACCAGGGCGGAGAGCCCCGGGGGTGGCGAGCGGGGCCCTCCTGCCCCCCGGGAGGGAGGGAAGGACGGGGGGGACCGCCCCCCCCGGCTGCCCCCCCGAAACCCTGTAAGCCCCCCGGGACGAGGAGCCCCACGGCTACCACAGGCCAGACAGCCCCACGGAGCGCTGG